AACCGGTGTAGGGGATGGTTGGAAGAAAGTTAGGGGCGGCCAAACCAAAACGTGGCATCAGTGCTTGAAGTCACTAACTTGTAGTCTGAGCCATGTTGGTAGATGCAGACTACTTGGTTGGGGTCCGCGTGACTTTCGTACCAATGGTTGGAGACCCTTGGTGACATGGCTCAGAATCGATCACAATGGTGTCGGTGTATACACTCTCTGTCTTCTCTTAAACTAAGAGATTAAGATCACTTCACATCTTTCTTTCTACGAACTAATTCTTTCTTCCTATACTATATCCTTATTGCAATCTTTCTCCTATATATTACCACCTTTGACCTAACCACTCCTATGAATCCAGTGTTCATCTTGCTGTGCTAATGAGGTATGGCAACCTGGGCCGATGCATACATGTGCCTGGTCCTACGTTGTAGCTGACTGACTGACTTACAAAATGTCAATCAATTGTTTCAAACTAGACTGTTCCTTTTGCAAATACCAGTCAATCGTCTCAGACTTCATTGTTCATTCGCTTACACCACAACCATTCTTTTGTCTCGTTCTCTTTTCTTTGATCTTCTTGACCTTCTGTTACCAGACATTTCACTTTCTATCGATGATACATACTACTCATATCTGTCGACATCAGTAGCACATACCACAAGTGCCGAAGAACTACAGAGCACCATACAAACTGATTGGAGGATTGTTATTCATGTGAGATTCGTATAACTAATACTATCATAAGGTGTAACTTCTGATTCGATGTATCGAAAGTGATAGTCAATTTTAAACCCAGATATATATTTGTAAATGTTACTAAGGTTTCTGGATAATATTCGGTGTAGGTGCTTAGAGACGGCACATTTTGTTTTGATTTTATATGCAATAGCCATCTGAAAAAAATGAACAAAACTTAGTGCTCAATCCTTTCCTACTTTTCTGAGGTATAACACCTAATTCCATGAAAAACGACTGACTAGAATCGCCTTTTAGGACGCCATTCACCTCTGGTGGACCCAGTTGACACTATTATTTAGACATTACTTCATGCATAGAAATGACTGTCTTAAACGAATTTATTTTCTTTGAATGGATCCTTTTTACGTCTGGTGGTAATTTACCTTGAAATATTGTTGCGAAGATTTATAAATATCTAAGTAACTGAACATAAAAGTCATGTCTAGATATGGTTCTATAGACTTAGAGGTGTTAGAAATAATCTATTCAAAACGAACTTAAAATCATCGTTCTTTTCTGACTCAATGTTTACTTTTCGCGTTGCAAGACATGATATTTCGTTTTCCGGTACATCTCTGGAATACAACGAAACTGTGTTAAATCCGGCCCTCAAAATATCTGTGATCATCAGAGAACCTATTTTTATAAGGTGTGATTCTTTAGAATAAACTTGTTCCGAGTGATAGTCATTTATGAAAGTGACGTTTGTTTCCTTGTATTGTATACAGGTAGGCTCGCTTGATATACACCTAACAAGAATAACCTTTCAAAATATTTATTGCATGAAGCTGAGTTAATCACCTAACCACTAACACAAACAACTTATTACCCTACATTAATATGATCAGCAACATTTATTGGCAAGCAATTTTATGAAATACTCACCAACTTATACTACTAATTGTAAACTATTCAGTAGTATATTTTTCTATTTTGATTTAATTTTGCATGAATCGATGGTCATTCATTGAACTCAACATTTATTATTTTACTCTAATCGCCTTGGAACACTAAGTAAAAATATTCATAAAATAATAAAACCTATCTCTACAGAATTCACTTCAAGATCTCAGTGATTTGGAAAAAACGTAGTTAGTGAGTCTTATACGAGAACACGCAATTAATGAGATCTACGAAATATATCAATTGTATCAAGAGGATAAGTATCACCCGAAAACCCAAATTATTTCAAGATAATCATATAGTACTCAAATCGTTTAGGAAATTCCTATAGAAACTACTAGAACTCCTTATAATAAGGATAAATTTCTAGTTCAAGCATGGTCGCAACTAAATCTTGATTGATTCTAAGGGCTAAGTACTGATGAAAGTATGCTGGGAGAAATCCGATCCCGAAACGATTTTATAAGTAGTTAGATACGAGAAACTGACTAGTGGAGGAATATAATTCACTTACCTAGTGCGATGCTCTGTATCCGGCGTAGAATCACGCTGTATAAAGACTAGTGATATTAACTAGTTGCCTAGAACCAAATTAGGGGGTTCAAACATGAAAACTATTACCTGATATCCGAATTCCTTATTTATCATTTAAAATGATTAATGAGGAAAATAAAAGTAAATAAATTAGCCTGTACGAAGTAAGCGACATTCCTCTTATAACACAAGGATTTGAAATGTCTACGTATAGAACATTAAATCATATATTTTAGTTGGTGATTCACATCAACATATATGTGAAGTTGCGCTGAGTAGCGTAGTTCAAAATATGCATTTTAATCTAAATTCTAAACAAATGAAAGAGTAATGCTTACTAAACTGTCAATATTAAATCAAAAACAGAAAATTACCACAACACTCAGTCAACATGAGATGCATTTGTCGATCTACCTCATTAAAACGAAATCGTTAATAAAAGAAATGAATCATTAAGTACACCTGAGCCTTTTAAATGTCTGCGTAGTGATTAGTACTTTCGAACGCGTACCAATCAAGATCACATTTCCATGTTCAAAAATTTATGACATTTTCGAAACATCTTACTCATAAGCTACTTTGGTTATCTTAGTTTAATGTGAAGAATAATTATAAAAATTGGTAATAGGTTGAACTTCACGTTTAATTTTGGTAATTGCTGTCTAACTGAAACAAAGTAAAACCATGTGAAGTTACTTATTGTTTCAAACTGATTTAACAACAATGGGGTCAATAATTATTTGATGTGAAAAACACTGAAGATTCGCAAACAATTTGATTGATCATTAATGTCAACGTACAAGAAACACAAAGATAATCTCATTCATATATAAATGTTAACTTTGATGAGTTCCATTTATTAATATCTCATAGTTAAATGATCATAATGCTTTTCGTCTATGATTTGAATCAAATAATCGCTCTTTATTCACCGACAACGAATGAATTGATAGGCAGTAAGAATATGAACAGCCTGTTAAAATACGAATCGTACTACAACACAATGACAAAGTAATCTGTCGATCTAAACCTCAACTTAAAAATTACGATTAGCACCGAAAAAGGTGGTTTTATAATGGCAGTAAACCATAAGACGTTTGAACCAAATTTTCGAATTCTTATGAATCGTATATCGTGTGCATTGGTTAAAAATTCCCCTCACTAGGAAAATATGTCACCCTGACCCAAAGAGGTATCTGTAACTAGGTTTGCAAAATGGTTTGTCCCACTAAACACAAGTCCCGAAACTGATTTGCAACCTAATCTTATTGCACAGATTATCACACGTAGTGACTCAAAAAGCGTTTTCAGAAACGCTTGGGTCACTTAAGGTCCAATGATGAAGATTCACTCCGACAAATGCGATTTAAGTATAACCACATTACTTCTGAAGTAATGCACATTGACATGAACCCTCAATTTATCACTTGCATAGCTGGGGGGATAATAAGGTTTACTTAGTAAATTTGATCACTGGTTAACAGGACGCACATGACAACCACACCACACAAAACAACCGTCAAGATGTATACTACACCAATTATTTACACCACGAAAGCGGGACTGGTTTTAGAGTTCCCAAATACCTGGTTTTTAATTTGTATTTAGTGCCGAATTTAAAATCGTAGATCTCAAACTGTATTTTCGAAGAATAAATTATGACTTTTATGATAAAACACCATAATTACAGAACTAAGCTTTTTCGACAATCAAACTAAGAAAGCATTATCTGTGTTCCTGAACGACTAAAGCCACTAAATTTAGGGCTAATTCCCAAACGTCAGGAGTAATTTTTAATCCTGATACAACAAACCAAATAAATTATTTCAACAGCACATAATCCAATTATCCGATTTTCAATTTCATAAAAGGACATAATAGACAATAGAACTCTTAATAAAAAGAGAAAATAATTTACAAAGACAGAGTAAAGTAATTTTGTGGGTGACCTATAAGCAGGCGCATTTCATGCGTACAAAGACAAATCGAAGATAGTAAGTGTTGGGGATACATCAGTGAAAGGACAACAGACCGATTTTAAAAGCATATACATAAGCAAAGTTATACTATACTATAATGGAAGGAAATTTGATAGAAAGAAAAATGTTGACTGCACAAAGTACGTGTCGCATGTACAAAGCTAGGCAATAAAGAAGGGTATTTAGGAGATTAATTCTTCGGCTATATACAACACAAGTCTATATTACCCCGAAGTTCGAATAAAGACGTTTTGGGGGAAAGGCAATGTTAAACTATTTCTTGGGTTATTGAACAAATGGAGGCGCAACCAAACCAGTTCTAAAACTCTGACATATATGTATACAGTGATAAATATTTAGCACACTTCAACCTGATTTGATAGAACAAGCTGAAGAAAAGAAAAGTATGAGCCACAAAAGATTAGCTCATACATTTAAATAAGAAAACAAATTTGAATCTAAAAGTAAACAAATCATTCGTTACCAGTGAATTTCGTAAGATCTGATAGAGTTGTGAATTCGTTCCGAAGACCGCAATAAACAGGAAATAAAGACAACGGGAAAAATATTTTGAATATTCTCGGGAATTATAAACTCATTTGATGTGTAAGCACTGTCAAGCAGGGAGGGGTAACTACAAAATGTATCAAAATAATGCGCGCAGCAACCAAACAGAGCGAACGACCACCGAACAAAGTGAAAGAATGCACACAACTGGCTTGGAAATTCAGGAATCAAAATTAACATAAATGCGACGTTAAAGTTTAACGAATCACAAAGTTGTTAGATTGAAGGGACGTGGAGCATTTATTAAAAGTCCCCTCCCTGAATAATAGTTTGAGCCTGTAATTCGGATGTGTTTTTACCAGTGTAATTTGGGATAAATTAACTAGCACTTGGATTGATACAGAAAACATGACCATGTCATGTCAGCTCAAAGACGGCTTTAAAATTACTTACACAGCCAGCAACGTGAAAGTGTTCCCGCCACGTTTAAAGATAGAAATCATTGTATGCCGTTGCCAAGGTTATTAGCAGAATTATTGGAACCAGAATCACGTAAAGGGCTCCTGGATCAGAAACATTTATATGAGGAATATTTTGGTGAGTCATTAAAGCAACAACCTGACGACCATTGGAAGTGGCAGAAACAAGTTGTGGTTGGGACTGGTGAGAGAGGTGGGTTGGGCCACTTGCAGGAGCGGTTGTGTTAGTAAGTATTATGTGAGGCTGCATAGGATTCACTGTACCACTCAAGGGTTGGTGTTGCTGTGATCTAAAGTGTACAATAGCTGCTTGTGGTGTAGAGGACTGACGACCCATATTTGAACTTGAAGCTGGGGTTAAGCGCTGAGGAACAGCACTAAGAACTTGAGACTGCTGATTTCCTACAGACAATATATTGGAACCAGTAGCTGAAACAAACATGTTAGATCCAGATTCATTGCCAGTGAACGCAGAGTCTGGACCAAGTTGAGTCGTATTATAGAAATGCTGTACTTGTTGTGGTTGTGACTGCACTAATGTCGCAGTACCCGGAACTGCTCGGAAACGCAGAGTCGTAGTGTTTGGGACAGTTTGGATTGGTTGTGCAGTGCATCCAGTAATCAACGGTTGGTGATGATTTGTAGTGATTGGTGACTGAATAGAAATCCATTGAACAGGTTGATGCATCACAGCAGGAGTGGAACCTAAAGAGGTTGAACCAGTAACGACAGACATGGACGACATAGGTGTAGAAAGACTGTTTATATTTTGGGTTCGATTTAATCCTGTGTTCTGAGAATTCGAATTAGCGGACACAGATGATGGAACGATAACAACATTACCCGAAACCCCACTAGAACCTAGAAGAGATTGGGAGGCATCAGATATCGAGGAAGTTGCAAGTGCAGAACTCGTAGATAGTGATGACGTACCAGGCATACTTCCCGAAGTAGTCACACGCCTTTGATTTGCTTGAGCACGTAGCTCAGCTTGTTGTTTATGTTGCGAGTGTAGAGCAAAAAAGGCAGCATGAAACTCGGGATGGCGTTTGATCCATGCGATAAACTATGAGAGAATAAAAAAAACAATATTTAAAAAACAAATAAACAAGTAGATATTGGTTAGTGAAGTTTGTTTCCCATTTATCAGGCAAAATAATAAAACAGTGGTGTAACCGATATCAAAATCAGTAGCAATATTCCAGTGCCATCTAACGCATCACCTAATATAAATACAATTTTAAGGAAAATTAACATGTATCGTATGGTGAAAGTAAACGAGTTTAATTTCCTCATGAGCTACCTATCAATTTGTTACTCTCAATGATACTCATTACAAGGAATTTCGATTGATAATATATTAGCAAACATATTCATGCGTTCAAAGATTACCCAATAACTCACCCAAGCTTTACAATGTTTATGCTTACGGCTTATGTAGTGAGCATGTTTTGTATACAAACACAACAGAAAGAAACGATTTGTCAACATTTTTAAAAACAGTAAGTTGCTCACCCGACGGTTTTGTTCATCGCTTGAAGTCCCGGTAGCCTTAATAAGGCTAATTACTTGACTAACATGGTCTATCTCAACTTGCGTAGGTTTGTTAGATATGGTTGGTTTTTGACTGTTTACAGGGTTAAGAACAGACACAGAAGAGTGAGTTGATGTTGCAGAAGTTGGCTGCGCTTGTGATTGTTGTCCGGTAGACGAGTGAACTGTACCTTGAGATGCAGTAGCTATTACTGGGCGAGGTCGCCAACCTGAAGTGACGGATACAGTGACTGGAGTATTTGTACGTTGTACTGGGCCTGTATTTATTGGTGGCTGCATTATGACACGACCTCCGGAAGGCATTAATGAAGAACATACAACAGGTGGACGTGGGTTTGCACCCTGATTGTTCTGAGAAGCGACAGTCGGTACTGGGATACGAGATGGCTGCGAATATTGAGGATTTCCCGTGGAAAGCAACACTGGACCTTGTTGTTGTACCTGAGTTTGTGGTTGAAAACTCACAGGGGTAGTATTACTTAGAGGCTTTTCTACTGAGTTTGAGGAAGTAGATAACTGTGGGTTTCTCACTGTGTTCGTGGTTAAGGACTGGTGAATGGGAGATTGATTTTGATGCACTGAATTAATGCTACTTGGATTTAAAGAAGTAGAAGAGATAGATGCTATTACAGAGGTAGGACAACTTTGTGTAGGAGGTTGTGATTCACTGGTTGGCAGTGCTCCTCGGTGCATTGTCGAAATACGACGTCTGAGCAACTTATTTTGTTGCAACCGCTGCTGCAATAGCTTTTGCTTAACTCTATACTTTATGTTTGAGCAGAAGGGAACAGGACACTTAGACTCTTCACAACTTCGAGCATGGTGCCATAGCAACGACAACAGCTGTTGACAGAGCAAACAACTATTTGTCGCTTTTTTGGTACAGTTTCGAGTGTGGCATAAAACTCGTTTCATCTGAGCACAAGTCTGCATGCGGCAATTTGCATCCCGGCACTGGCAAGCATGAAGTAAAGACCTTATGCATCCTTCTATGCTGATTCGACGATCAGGTGTAGCACCAGTACCACTGGGTCTATCACCTGTTTCTTCATTTGTGCTTGAATCTTCATCTATACCAAGACCATATTGAACCATAGGATGTGGATGATTTTCTGTCTTATAACAACGAGAGCACAGATCATATTCTTCACACTCATTACAATGCCATCGAGTTTCGATCTGAGCACCGCAAACATTGCAGTTATACATAAAGCTTTGACGCAATTCCATATGCAGTTCATACAACAGGACCATAGAAGAATACTTAGCACGACGCAAAGATGAAAATTCTAAATGCCTTTCCCGGGCCATCTGTAAGAACGCATCTCGACTATCCATTAGCTCACTATGTACAGGTTGATCTGGATCAGTGGTGGGTGGAAGTGAGGCAGCCGAGTTATGTCGGTGAAGGCGTATCACAAAAAATATTTCTTTTAATTTTTCCATAGTATCGTACACCTTCCGTGAAAGTTCTTCAGCACCGTCTATTGGTCCATCTAGGCGTTTTCTTTTACTTGCAGTTGATGTATTGCCTTTCTTGTTACCTTTGCGTTTCTTAGCCTTCTTTTTACCACTGCGCTTATCAGGATCTCCAGGCAGCCCCTCATTAGTGGAACTTGAACAATCTGCTTCATCATCTTCAGCCTCTGCCTGAGCCATTGCCTCCTCACGACGCCGACGAGCTTCCTCCTCTTCCAGTTCCTGTGAAGAAATCAGGATGAGAAATATCAATTAAACAATTAGAACTTGTAAAAGTAACTTTATTATATAGACCACAAGTGAGTTTGCAACGGTGTCAGAAAGAAGCGATAAAAAACGTCACACAAAAACTTGGATGAAGATGGGACCAAGATGACTAATACAAAATTTAGAACGCTTTAGAGATATCAAGTGTGAATAGTTTATTCTGATACAAACACAATATGGATAAATATCGATTATGGATGCTTTAAATTTTCAGAATAACGCCAGTCATATTATTAAGTAAAACGAAAATACTTGCCAAACAGAAAGCTCTTGTCAATAGGACAGCAAACAGCTTAATAATAAAATCATGTTGTTCATCTTTTCAGACTACTTTATTATACATCAATGAAGAGACTTCTGAGGGGAGCAAAGCGGTCAAGTAGCTCCAAATTCACTGGAAGGAAAATTCATAGCTGATCACAATGATCACTTAGACCACAGTGACCCTGATACAAGACATCACAGATACAAAAAATGTACTCAGCATTGGTCAACCAATACCAACCGTAGCAGCATGATATGCCCTGATGTCTCGTAAAAAAGCACAATAAATAGAATCGCTCTCGTTCTACTTTAAAGTACTAAGACGTAATCGCTGAAAAATACGAACAGATCACAGATATTCGACAAAGTGGTTCTGAAACTACCTGAGTGTAGTAGGAAAAGCGAAAAATGAGTGTTAGGTATAGAGTAATAACTAAGGGGAGTAAATAAGATAAGGTTATGAACGTTTTCAGAGATTATTGGGTTGTATTATAAATCTAAAATCACTGCCTACTAAAACGTGCTGCAACAGCTGAAGTAAAGATTGAATCGGACCGAAACAATGCATCACTGCAAAAAGCTGTCACTTTTTGCAAAGTAGATCGATTTTTCGCGTGTTCGTCGCTTGACAACTGTCTAAAAAGTCAATAGGGATCTCTTTTTCTTGTTATCAAGTACATTTTGGCGTTAATGTATATCCTTTGTACTTTTTACCAGTATTGAATTTTGGTTATTGGCAGAAGGGAATATAATCCTAACTGAATACTTACAAATAACACTTTACGCAACAATTAGAGGCCAAGTGTAGAAAACAATAAAAATGGATATTTGCAGAAGTCTCTAAGTTGATAAGAAAACACTGCCGTAAAAATGAATTATGATTGAAGTCAGGAACCTCTTTCAGTGCTACAAGCTGACTGTTATCATCTTAACGTAGTTTTTACTCGCATTGATTCCATTATGTTGAGGAAAATTTGAAGTATGACTACTTAGGCTAATACATTCTTACCGGGCCCTACATTAATTGTCAGTTAGTCGAATAATCACTACAGGTATTTTTGACTAGTTGACTAGAAAGATGGGTGCTAACAAGCGTAGTAAAAGTGACTTACGGGTTCACTTAGATCAGTTCCTAAATCTGAATTACAACATTTAACGGAAAAATTAAGACTTATTAGTGACCTTTATCGTCAAGTCGATGACACAAAGTGTCACACAAAACAAATAGGAAACATGACATGTATTCAAGTGATATCAACTTGAAACTATGTAGATCTGAGTAGCTGCTGCAAGTTGTAGTAATTAGAAATAAAATAACTTAACGAGTTAAAACTTTAGAACTACGACATGAGCACAAAGTGTACTAACAAAAAACATGTCGCTCGCTACTGCTTAATCTTCCGTTTATAAAAAACCTGTCTATGGTTTCGACACTAGGCTACTAATCTGTAAGTTGTCATCTAAAATCCAAGTGAACAGTTACTTCAGGATTGGGTTGCATCGACACCCGGACCAATGATAGGGAGTGAAGTAGTTGAGCGTGTCGACCGCTTCAAATATCTTGGAAGTCTCATCAACCCTTGTGGTATAGTGTGTGTCACATCAGCCTTTGTGGTTTAGTGTGTGACGAAATCTCAGCACAGAAACAGAAGGCTCGACTAGCTTTTGCCAACTTGCGTCATTTATGGCGTAGTCGAGATATTCGTTAACCAACCAAAGAACGAGTTTACTGTGCAGCAGTTCGTTCTGTCCTACTTTATAGCAGTGAAACATGGCCAGTAAGAGTAGAGGATATTCGAAGGTTGCTAGTATTCGACCATAGGTGTTTTCGAAACATTCCTCGTATATCCTGGAACCTCCAAGTAATGGAGTTGTTAGGAAACAGGTGCCAGATGAGGATGGCAAATCAATTGATGAAGTAGTGAAAATTCATCAGTTGAGATGGCTGGGACACGTGTTACGTATGCCCAACCACCGACTGCACAAGTCCATGAAGTCACTGACAAATGGACTGAGACATATTAGTAGGTGTAGACTACCTGGTTGGGATCCGCGAAACGATAGCAACCGATGGTTAGAGACCCTGAATGACATGACTCAAAATCGTTTGCAATGGTGCAGGTGCATCTACTCTTTGTGTTCTCCTAAATTCTCATCTTCTGAATTCATGTCCCGTTTTTCCGCTTTCCAAATTTACTTCACTAGATTATACTGTTTACATAACATCTTCAAACCCTAATGTTTCCGATTACTGCCTATAATCTTACTACCTCTACCACTACGGGATTTGAATCGACAACTGCATCTTCGTGTTAATGTGGTATGGCGACTCGAACTGATGTACGTACGTACGGGGTTCTACGTTGTTACTGACTGACTGAACAGTTACTGGTGTCTAGAACTCCTCAAGTTATGAAGACAATCGTCGAGAATATGAGTTCCATGTTTTCCGAAAATCTAGGCAGTAACTGAGTGACGATAACTCGTCGCAACGATTTCTTCTAAAGAAGATAAACAATGACAGGGGAAAACTTTGGGAAAGAATCCGAAAATCTTACTGGAAAAAGGAAATTATAAACCTGCAAATCTAAATCAATATTAGTTGTGCAATGCAAAGAGGCACTTACGTCAAGACCAGCAATACACATGAAAACGCTAATGCAGAGGATGAAAATACTGTTATGACATATTTACTTACCTTAAGAATATCTTCAAGTGTATTTGGCCAAAAATCACCTTCAAAATAAGGGATCTCTGTAGGTGACACAAGTTGATGGTCTAATGCGTCTTTCAGGATGTTTTTGTAGTCCACCACAATTCCTTCTATGATAGCCTTTTGAAGCATCCGACGGTACCACTCCTGCAGTCTCTTTGCTTTGGGAATCTTTTGCTCGGTAGGATGCATATGAAAAATATAATCGTCGCCTTCGCCAGGTGGACAAGCCCATATGTGTGCCATCGCATAACCACATCGCTTTGCATACAAAAGATAACCAACGAGAATCTCATGATACACATCTGTTCTATATTGTTTTGGTCGGAAAAAGAAGACTGAATCTAGGTAAGCAACATAAACCCTTCTACGATTGGGTTGAGGACTTTCTGAACCATATTCTTGCACGTACAAACCGAAGAAACACACATCCTGGCCGTCGATTTCTTGGAAAGCAAACACAGCCTTCAGTCGATAAGGAAACGATTCAGACAACTCGCCACTTTCAGTGAATCTTGCACGCATTAAAGGTTTAACTTCTACAACCTTATCAGAACTTGCCAGCACGCGAATAGTAACTTCTCCAGTACCAACTTCTTTTTTCTTAAGGAAATCGTTAACACGCTTTTCTAAGAAATTGCTCAAGCGCGTTACGGGTAGCTTCTTAGCAGTGAACCGATTTTCTTTCCGCTTTATACCGCGCTCCCGTAAACAACCAGGACAAATATATCCACTTGGCCATATTTCGTTCATGTGCAAGGCGCAGACTTTATGCCATCGTCTACCACATTCCACACAAATAACAAATTCTTCTTTTTCCTTCACATTATTCTTGCGTTTCTCAAACATCTCTCGTTTAATCGGGCTAAAAAAATATCAATTAGTTGAAAAATAATAAAATCTGGCTTACATAGATTGATTTGGTTCGTCAGCTAGTATAATTACATCCCCAGCTTCGCTAAAACATTTTTCACATTGATAATATTTATCACATACGAGGCCGATTTGTTTATCACTAAAGTAAATAATAATATATTAAAGAACTCACTTGTTGATGTAGACGAAATAAGTAGCATCCCGGTTTATTGTACATAAATTTGAAGAAGAACAATACAAACCCTGAGGTTGATATTCATAATCCTGACCACAACAAAAACCCATTGCTTGCATGACCTGATCTATGCGACTCTGAAAAAGTTCTGCCAACTACAGTGGAAAGGTTAAGCGAAATTACTCTAACATACCTTGGTGCACATCTTGTAAACCTTGGAGGTTTTTTTTGTTGTACAGCCATGCATTATTAAACATCAGTCGAAAGTGATCCACGACCTGCCATGGGTCCGTGTACTTACCATCCTCCAAATTATTTCGAATAGTCGTAAGGTCCATAGGTTCTTTAATGACTTGGAAATAATCAGGTATATGTAGCATTACTGGATCGACTGGAGCACGGAAAGGTTCTGCATACTTATCATTGTATACTTCTTCATGCAACTGGAGGAAATGGCGCAAAAGCTCTTCGCGTGACCACTTTTTCCACTTGCTTTCATCTGGTTTTACAGGTAACATGTTTGAAGCTAATGCAACACTGCTTGAATTAAGGTTTGATGTGTTGTCCACAGAAAATGAGTCATTATTCACTGGTGGATCGTTACATGGCGTCTCATCAGCTTTCATTTCAACCTTTACTACTTTGCTTTTAACAAGGATGCCATCTCCTGGGGCAGCTACAGATGGAGTGCTGACCATTTTGGTATCTTCTATTGTTGATTTAATACTGGACTGTGACGTGGCGGTTTTCAGACTTGTAACTGATGAGGATACAACAGGTGAATCAGAAGATCCTGCTGTTCCTGAATCTGACTTGAAACGATGACGATTGCAAGCATTTTGTAAATAATGTTCGAATCTTGACATGTCGGTTTCTGAGTTGTTTGAATCCTGAGTTGCAAATGAATTCATTTCATAGCTCTCAGTTGAAGAATTGTAGTTGCCGTTGGTAATATTGGAGCTCGGAACTCTGCTTGCTGTGCAAGAACCTAATGTAGAAGAAACTGAATTGGACGGTGAAGCCAACTGATTAGACAATGTAGATAAACTCTGATTCAATTGCGATGAGTTGACAGCAGAAGATGATGTTACTACAGACTGAGAACTCCCTACTGAACTGTCCACTCCAAGTTGGCGGCTTTTACGTTTTTCTTCTAGCTCACGGTGTATCTTGTAACACTTCTGAGCCAACAAATGAAAATAATGATCAATATCTGTAGCAGTAACATACATTTCGCGTTCAACTTTGCGTGCATATTCGATTAGATTTCGCATTCTTGGATCTGAATAAGCAGCAGGATCCGGAAACGGGAAAATGAAACGTACACTGTAAAAGAAAAGGTTCAGTAATTAAGGGAGAGTAATAGTGTTAAATCAGAAAAACTTTACTTGGTATGATAAAGCGATGGTATGACAAGCTCTACAAGTTTGCGTACGTCTATGAAGTTTAGCTAGCTGCACACTAAAATTGTTGATAATGCAGCTGAACCGACATGTGCAAACTGGGATTCATGTTGAAAATAAAGAACTACGAGCACAAATGTGGTCATGGAGGACAATCTAGTAGCAGTTTACATAAAGCACTAGAACTCATAGGACTTGAAAAGGTAGACTTTTACATGATAAAATTGAGTGGTCACTTTAAATTAAAGAATCTAACTATGAGAGATACTGGTGAAATAGTTCAGCTTGGAGGTTTGTTAACCGAATCCCATGCTTTCCTAGAACTATTTATTTCGTGTTGCACTCATAAAATCAGGTGCGATTGAATAACAAAAATACGTACCACACACAAGAAAGAGATAACGTGAAGAAATAAAAGAGTATGGATTTAAATCTTGAAATAGGTAAGAATAATGTACGGAAAAAGGTCAGTTGAAAGCAGTAAAATAAACTTTTTTCAGATGAGGGTTCTTATTTTTATGAATAGTACGGAAAACGACAATAAAGTTACTATCAATTTCTACTCCGAGATATGAGATAACTTCTCAAGCCAGAGTTACACCATCACTAGGACCTCAACCACGGGTCATAACGAACTGGCGGATGGCAACCCTACATAGCTTTTCACCATACCAAGGTGTTTTATTATACACTGACTGTCGCTTTTTTCACCCAATCTCAGCGTCAACAACCAACGAACATCGTGGAAGTCATTGGGATGACATTCATACATTTTAAACCTACTAAAAGCGGTGTCCCATGATTGTGACACAAAGAACGAGAACCTCAGCATTGCTAGCATAGATGTTAGCAATTATCCAAATACGACCGAACAGAACCACCGATTTTATCTCCCATGCCACTAGCAGAACTTACACGACTACTCAGATACACGAACTTCCCGACAGCTTGGGATAATTACCACAGAGAGAACAGGCACAAGTCCTGTAAGATTGCTTCGCATTTGGAAGCCTCAACGTGCATGGCCTGGTTACGAGAACTAAATACTGACTGGATAAGTTGTTTTAAAACACAGTAGTATACGATATCAAAAGCTTTTTATGTGTAACAGATCCACACCACGAGCTCTCACCAGAAATGTCTCCAGAATATCATTGCCAGAAGAATTCAAAAGGAATAGTGAAGTCGAGTAACCCTCCTTAACGACGGAGAGGTAATTGTATACCATCACTTTACTTGAAGCACTCATATACATAACCTTTTTAGAAACATACCTCCACGACAATCCCAGATAACAGACCTGGTCCAACGAATCGAAGGCGGCCCGATTATAAAAAAACGATTTTTGACCTGTAATAAGTAAACCGATGTCTTAACATTTGATGGAGGATAGAGATATAAACAACACATTCACGACAAATCCAGTCTGGTCTCTGTGAGTCAGCCTTCCACGAATTTTGAATAGTCAGCGAAATATGATGAAACGTAACTTTTGGAATACATAAAATAAACCCTTTTTAGAAATGGGGACGAATGACGCTTTATTCTAAGGTGTTAGGAAACAGCTTCACAAACACCTGCAAACCCAATTAGTTCCATGACCGGAAGTTCGCCACCATCCACAAAAGGTGTAGGGTAGGTTGTTTGGGCTTAGCAACTTGTGGCGTCTTATGATCTGGAGTTGAGGACATCTTTGTTAGGTAGATTGGTATTCGTTGACCAATGAGCACAAGACAGGCTGATAGACGTAGCTGGAACAATAGACCAGTTGGGTCAAAAAATAATAACTTCGAACAATTACTGTGCCAAATTTCGAATTTCGCGTTCACCTATAATCATCTTACATCAAAGTCAACCCCTTGACGACCAACGTCAAAGTATGAAGTTCTCAAGGTGGTCTATGTACATAACTTTCTTTCCTGGCCCGATGGATCACATAATTAACATTGTGAAACCTCCTATTTTTTATAGGAGGCACCAAGGAGGCTGATTGAGTAATTGAGCTAACATAAAAACTAATGAATTTTTGCGTCAGCTAGACATATTTATTGTAGGAAGTGACACAAACGTACATCCATTCCAGTTTTCACACCACGTTGGCACGACAAAATGAAATTGTTAGGAAAAATTGCTAGGTGATAGTGGTATGGTTACTGAGATCAACCTTATAAACTGATACAGAACTTAGTGGCAGGAACACTAGAGCATAGATGAGAAAAACAAAAAGTTTAACCCCAACCATTTACTTATTGATCTCACGGTTGTTCATAATGCTGCAAATCTACGGTCGAATAGTTGATTTTGAAATATCACCTGATATTTATTTGGATTTCGGTAACATAATGTCTGAGAACACCAACCAGGTTCTAAACCTGGTTGTGAAACTAAACGAATTTTTTAACAGCTTGTAAGATAAAGATATGCTATGATTACGTCACTTGACCTGAGAGCGTTATTCTAGTCTGTCGATATGGCGTATCTGGCAGTTTATCATCGAAAGGAAAACCAGAGGCTTTTTTTCTCGGACACTTGGTCGGGTAATTAGAGCTGACCACATCTATCTCTTCCTAATTTTACTGTCACAGACAAATTTCTTGCTTTTCACAGACTGGTGTTTTCGAGAATTTTTATTAACTTAACCAGATGCTAACTTGAAAGCGATAACATTGAATTATTCGGAACGACTTCCTCTGATTTGAAGTTCAAAATGTTACCTAAGGACAAGTTTGTGCCAATACTTAATTCCAACTTTGGGAAGCGAAATAAGTGAGGATACTAATTGTATTAAATATTCCGAGTCTAGTCAAACCCGTTAGTTACTGAGACCTACGCACGGATACAAAAGGGTTACAAAGTTCTTACTGCCAACTAGTGCAACTTGTCTGTTAGCTTACGAAAGGACGAGTACACCGCTCGGCAGTTTGATTCGAATTAATAGACGGCTATGTGGATAGAAAACATTTATTAGATCATGCTTTCGGTGCACCGTTAGTGGTAGGACGAGAAAGGATAGTATCAGACGTGTTGGATAAATTGAGCAAATTATTTGGAAAGTAAGCTTTAATAGACTGGTTACCGCCTGTCACAGCAAGCTATGCTAGATAGATCGGAAAATGAACGAGTGATTAGAATAACATGACATAAGCACATGAAGTGAAGAAAGATATATTTAACGTATGTAGGGTAGATATAATTCTTCTTGCTATGGTCCGATGGACATCGATAATCAGTAAATGTGAACCTTCATAACTGAGAATGATTCAGTTACCCTCCTTCAGACCCTAAATGCCATTCGATGCATCTCACTCCTCGACTTTACCCATTACGTTTGACCATTCAAATATTCAACTCCTGCAAGCATTTTCTAATCGTTTGCATTTTTCTTGACTGTATCCAATTGTGATGATATGTGGTGGCTCAGACACATACTTGAAGACTTCAAGTCGCCTTGCTGTAAAGTTTCAAAAGCCATCATCAAGTTGTGACGGGACAGGTGTTTTTACCATATTTCGTATCTGATATTACTGAGTCTCGTCTGAGTAAATATGACCGAGATAAATGACGTGAGCTGGCTTATCGTTTATCTGAATCTTTTCCGACTACCTTAACTCATAACACAACTCGCAGACGTAGGATGCCTCAATAAAATAGCAACCAGAACAGATACAACCCACAATAAAAACAAGCTATCATAAGAAAACATGAATAATGATAACAATATTAACGTTGAAGCAGAAAAGAATAGTAAAAGATACACTACCAAATCGTTTAGTCTTATAATCAAGGGATAAATGATAATTGGTTCGATGTTAGCACTGGCATCACGTTTCAAAACAATTAGCAAGTAAAAAAAGCTCTTAGAGTTTTGAGGCCTGCATCAAGATTCAGATGGTTTGGTCAATGTACGTTAACAACCACTAACTTGCTTCATTTAGCACTAATTTCGACTTGAAAACTGCTTAATAATTTCGAAACACGACATACTGTATTCATACAATAGGTTCCTAATATGGCTTGGAATGATGCAATAACAATTCAGATATTTTCTCATTATCAACGCCTAACAAAGGAGAAAAATATCGTGACTCCACGTCCCGGAAGCATGAGAAGGAAATAATCGGGCAATCACTTAGTGACATAACAAATCGATCTGAAAGAACATTGCAAGCGATAGTCGTTTGTATCATGGTACATCTAGCAAAAAAGTAAAGCTATAAATTTTACAGTGGTCAAGAAACACTAACAATTTGAAAACACTGGCTTCAAGTCAGAAATGAGACCAAGAAACGAGGACTACTACAACAGATAGAAAAATACCGTGGGATCCAAATGAAGTGGTCAAATTAGAGCAATAGTAAAGCAGGTAGATGTTTAGGACTATTTGACAACATAATCGTCAAGTTAACCTAGTACTTTCCTATAGGACATTTTTATTACTGCTATAAACTGACCGGCCAACACGTACCCAGTCTCATTTTTGCCAAATTACAGGCCTAAATTTTAGAAATCAGAGAGTAACTCATCTCAGATTTTAGTACACGGCAAGATCGAACATGCTCTTAATAAAGACAGAATTATTTAGAGATCAACAATCGTAAACAACATGAAGTACTCTTTGGATTTAAGAAAGTATTGACATCTCCCTGGAGTAGCTGATGAGGAGACAAGAGCTAGGAAACCACATATACAAGTATGAAATTCTACCTAATTTTGGGCTAACCAAGTCCAAGGAGTACCAAGCGAACTAGGAAGGCACCGTTATATACAACGTAAAACCTAGAACATGGGTGTATGCCAGGAGTTACATTCCACTAGAACAGCGACATGAAACCGCCAAGCTAAATCTAATAGTAGAAGTATCAACAGTGTAAGTGGTAATAAAACATCCGACATATGAGTGACTCAGGAAGACATCGAAGGAAATAACCGACTGGTTTTCAGGGAATTACAGAACTCGTAGGTCACTACTGCACAGTACGAATGCAAACTAATGAAGCTGGTTCTCTGAAACATTTTCTAAGTTTCAAAAAAGCACTTTTAACTATTTTATGGAATAAAGCCAACACTAAGGAAACGAATATATGCATAAACAAGTATTACTGAAAGTGATTGTAAACACAACTGAGGATGTTAAATAAAGCACTAAATGTTAAATTAAATAAAATCTACCACTCACATTCTGCGGACAACATGATTACGTTGAGATATATCCACACCTTTTCGCCAGTCATTTGCTCAACAGGAGTACAGTTCACTGCGACATGACTACTGACACCATTTAAGTTCGAAGCATCTGAGATCTGAGTACTGGGGATGACTGAGCCAGGTGCTCGTGTAACAGCTGTGTTAACAGGAACACTAGCGATGGAAGTGGCTCGAAAAGGTTGGCTAGGTGGTTGCTGAGCAGCACAGGAATGAGGACTGGAATCAACACCATTTACTTCGGGAACGCGATTCGTGACTGATGTACCTGAGTTGAGTTTTGAGGCGGACGTATCATTTGATTACGTTGGTAGTGTTGGTTTTGTTTCAAAGGTTCACACACAGGGCACTCCCGATTGTTACAGTTCTTCCAGTGTGATATAATTTGACGAGAGGAAGCACAATGTGGCGTTTGGCAATTTTTACCTTGTGTACATGAAGTCATGTGTTGTAAAACTCCACGCATTGTGTTGCAATGGGGTGTTGTACATTGGCTTATCCGTCCATTGCTCTCATCTTCTTGGCGCTGACAACGGCGAGCATGAAGTAATAAGATCAACTGCTGTTGGATGAGTTGACGTTTTTCTGGATCTGTTGCAACCACAGAAGGGGCGCTAGTAGTGGCTGTATATGTCTGACCTATTGAGTGACTGCTTGAAACAGGAGCCGCGTTGCGAATATTGGCAGGACTACTCATTATTGATGGATTTTGACTTGGTATGTTGGTTACGACTATTGACGGACCGAGAACACGCGGAGAGTGATTCTGTGCATGAATCTGTGTATTATATACATTTCTGGATAGCAATGTTTCAAGCATATCAGGCTGGCTAGCAGGAGTGCTGCAGTGAGCATGAGTCATTGATCCAGGATTATATCCAACATTTGAATTGGGGGATGCACGGTGCACAATCGAATGGGAATATGATGAATGAGCACCACAAACAGGAACACATAAAGTCCTGGCCTCCGGTCCAATGTACTGAATGGGTTGATTATTTGCTGACAAAGAACAGATGGATGTTGCCGTAGGCAGTTTAGCCGATGAACTGGATATCTGGATCGTATGAATTTCCCCAGAAGATGAGTAATTATTAATAATTGCTAATGTGTTGGGATGTTGCAGTTGAGTATTTCGTAGGCTAATAGATCCACGAGGTTCATTTTGCTGAGTCTCTTGAGCCATGAAGTGAATTCTGAAAAAGACAATTGATGTAAGAGCATATATATAAACGACAGTGACACGAGACTGTGGTTATAAATAACATATAATGATTTAGATAACAAGAAAACTGAGTAACATCGCGATATTTCAGTGACATGCAATTATTACACATATAATTAGAACAGGTCAAATGTAGATATAAAAACAAAACGAGGTATTTATGATTAGCAAGTTTCGTAAAAACCACCACCTACATTATGCAGAAGCCGCATTTAAGCGAGATATTCACAGAATCGAAATAGATAAGACCAGGAAATCCCGTGAACAAGATGGCGTACGCGCCCTAGACTCTTTCATCTTTCTGATTGGTCAATCACCGTTTATGAGAATCGTAAGAGGCAGGTGTTACAAAGCTTAAACAAACAATTTGGTATGCATTACTCTGTACGCCTTATTTATTCTTCTGCGAGAACGATGAGCAACAACCAAAGACCTTCCTGCGAACTTAAAGTGATGAATGGGTTTTAAAAAGAGTCCGCAACTTTGTCTGGAGGAATTAGTGATTTTTTTTTCCTTGAGATCTGTATCCCGGAAGTTGTAGATCATACGTAATTACAGATATGTATGTCTCTTTCTGTAGTCGTTCTAAAAACTGAAAGGAAACATAATATAATTGGTGACAGAATTGCACGGGGAGTTGCATCTACAGTTTTCCGCCTTAGTATGTTCCGAACTAAAGTAATCATAGACATTTATCCTGCTAGATTCAGCAGAGGGTGTCATCGTCATAGGTTCCAATATTCAGCTTCGCAATTTAATGACTTGCACGGCCAAACATATTACGTAAACTTCGGTTCAAGCTCTTTCGTGTTTTATCTCGAGTGGATGTCCTAAGAGTGACTTATTACCCAAACGTATTCTGTTAGGTTAATGAGAACTATGACCAGTATGATACGTCATGATGATATTCTCCTTAGAGTTACGCCAGAATTTCTTAGATAGTACGTGGTGAACAATGTTTCACTGCCGCTCCCCACCAGTATTTTGCATTTAGGGATATTGAGTGGAAGGAATTTTTTACATTCCAGTCATTGATCATGTGGAAGACGCTGGGGATAAGTACGTCAAATTTTGCAGAAACCATCAAACTCCTTCATAAGGCAAAGCTTTTTTCAGAATCTTCAACAGAAAACGAAAAGAGAGAAACCAAGAACACAATGCTCCAGGAGTTGTAGTGTGACAACCAAGGAATGAGTGACATATGCCAACAGCCTGAAAGAAAAGCCCGGGATAGAATTAGTTAGAAATCCCTGGTCGATGGCTTATAGCCCACAAGGGGCTACAGGAGCTGACATGTGTGTATGTGTCTACCACTCACTCTATTAGTCACATATCTATAGATTGTTTTTCCGTATGAATATAAATGCTTAGTCACACGTCATTAAAATAAGTTGACACGCTTGCCATCTCCACTCACATTTTCTCTTACTGTCCATCAGAATTAATAGATATATTAAACATGTTCGCCCAGGAACTATTTTCGTAATTATTTTGTTCTCTTATTCACTAACGCGAATCAAGTCGATATGTACGAGGTTAAGCGAGATTTATTTTTTTTAACATCATCCTACAGTAATGGAGATAGAACAAGGGTACAATGTAGAGCAAGAAGATAGGTTGGATAATGGAGACTTACTCTTTGCCAACCTCTTTGAGCACATACACAACTACCCCATTTTTCCATTTAGAGTGTTGCTTCCTTTTGACTAGGGAATACTTGAAGGGAGTAGCAGAGTGAGAGCAAAGAAGGGCAGTACATTCCTTCAAGACTTTGAGTAAAAACTTGGAGCAAAAATTTTATATAGATGTCTGAAAATCTTTTTGATCTCGAGGGGTTCAAACTCCATGAAGCATATGCCCGTATAAGTAAAGATGAAGCAGATGTTACTGTAAAGAAGTATGACAACCTGGAAATGAACTTCGTTTCCTGTTCTAAGGAAACAGTGTAGTTCGCGAACAATAATTTCCATTATTTTTGTTATTTCACAGCTTTTAGTAAATTCAGTGCTTAACTCTGTCTTTCGTGCTTTCACTGATACACAGAGTATTTTGGTCTTTTTCCTGTCAATATTTCAAAATTCCTGTTAGAACCGTAAATGATTTCAAATTGAGAGACTTAGAAGTGAAGAATGCCATTATTAGACAACATGATTCGTATGGCAGAAATTTTTTGAGTGTTACTAGGGGATCTTCAATGAATATGTTGGAAAAGCAAGTAATGAATCCCTTTACGTTGGCCGGGGAATCTTACATAAAAAGCTAATTGGACAACGATTTCATTTCAGGACCCAATTACGTTCATGTTACCGTGATGACGGTTAAAAATTTGAACATAAAACAGGGAAAGAAAAAACTGTTTGAAGGCCACACCCCCATTGCAAAATCCGTCGTCACAACGTGAGCTGGGAGTTGGAAATCAACGTAAAGGAATTTTCATTACCTAAGTTTTTTTGGGTATGCTATAGTCCACATACGTATACGTTAAATCATTCAATTGCCTTTATTATCAGCCGACAAAACAGTCTTGAGATAGGCTTGTTATCTTTTTTCAAACTAAACAGTAAAAATGTGTCCATACCCTAAACACGTTTTTAGGGACATAATGGAAATATATTATCTTTCAATATATATTTGATGGGATTATTAAAGTATGTTTGGACCGTAAAAATCTCATTTGCTTTCGGCTACGTTAAATCACAAAATATCAACTTCATGTCGATTATCGCAGGGCCAGAAATCACAAACGAACCCAAGCTTGGAAAAAGCTTAACAACGAAAGTGCAGGGAGAGTACAGTTACTAGTCAGTAAACACTGATGGTGACAGGATGATTGCAACTCACTAATGTTTTTAGACTAGAACATTTTTGTTTTTCGATCAGAATTCAGACGTTTATTCAATGATATCGAGATTATTCTCCTATTTTTACCACTACTTCGACTTTTGCATCCGGCTTCCTTTTGGCTTCTCTATACTTTAAGTATGACCAACCGCAGTCTGTTTTTATGATATTTATGTTTGGTCCAGTTATCAGCAATTTTCATCGGTTATTGTTGCTTCTAAATCAACGCTTTATAGTGAATCGGCCGTGTTACATCATAAACTTGAGCTAGTTATACACTGTATCTGCACTCGAATGTTCATAGACTTTCTTATCCATGAGGTGATCATTGAACTCCTAAAATTATCTACCTCATAACGTTCTTCATTAATACTGACAAATTGCGGTGAGAAATGGCAACAAATCAAATTCAAGTAACCTTGATGAATATCTAATAGTTATGATTTCACTAGAAGCTTTATCCAGAGAGACTTGTAAATATGCAACTTGCATTCATTTAGAGAAGCAACACTCACTACTGATGACTGGTAATGACTTATGTAGTCCTGAAACATTGAGAAAACACGTCTCACTATAGTAATAAATACGATTATAATTGCAACTGGTACAAGTGCATTATTCAAACACTATATATAACTGGGTAATATTTCATACGGTTATGAAACAGCTGCTAAGCAGCTAAGATTCTCGAACATTTATTGATATAAGGGGAGTTTCCATTGCTTACCAATGTATCCTTAATGGACCTTGACAACAATAATTTATTATGAGGTAAAAAGTTACAAGTCATACATGTTCGAGGGCAAGACCGAAATGTTACGAATGCTGCAAGATTTAAGTAGTAAATTACTCAGCTAGGACAACATGTTCCAGCAAACATTATTCATAGGACAGATCAACAAATTCTGATGCATAAGAATACATCTGATGATAGTAAGACTAAAATGTACAGTGTAAACACTGGCATGTTTTGTGGAGGCTGCGTTGCAACGAATAACCGGTGGTCCAGAGATAAAGTAAACCGGGTTTCGGAGTTTACAATAGACGTATTGCGGTGAATGCATGGTTATTTTCCTAAAATACCAGTCCCAACATATTTCTACGGCCTCTTGTTAATATTTTCCAGATAAAAGTTAAAACAGGCCTATAGTGAGAAGAACTGTAAATATTTATCATATATCAGAGGTGTAAAGAAAGACAGAAAAGTTATATATGCTTTTATGACGAATGATATGAATCATTTGTGATGGAAAGATTAAGATGTAAATGTTCAAACTTATTTCCATTTGCTAGATGAATTGGAGAAAACATTCAGTAGTACGTAAAAAAGTGGGTGAAGAACAGCAAAAATAGGTTAGATTTAAAAAGGTGGATGCAATTTAAGATTATCTGGATCTTCAAAATGTGGTAAGGGAAATACAAAGTTTGAATAATGCAAACGTCGTTTTAGCTATTTTATTCATAATTTTTATAATTATTATCGTTATCCATTTTCTCAAAGTCACAAGTGAGTCACTCTGTTCTAGCCTGAGAGTTTATTTTAGCTTGTGATGGAAATCCTTAATGAAACTTGGGGCCAATTTGAGGCCACAAGAGTGTGTAAAAAAAGAGGCAGTTTGAAGAGAGCAACAGCGAAACCGTTGTTTTGTTGCTTCCCATCAAGCCATAGGGAGCCGTTGGAAGAGGAAATGCTTCGCACTGCAGGCGTGGGTGGATTAAGGTTATACACCAGTCGTTATGTTTTCTGTCTAAAAACGCCACCCTGCCCTCTTCTGTGGTGTTAAAGGTTGTATCTCAGTTCTGCTATGATCCGTATTACGATCGAATGATACACATATAGCTTGTAATCGAAACAATAAAGTAACAATAGTTGAAATTAGGTACTAAGATTTGTTTGAAGTCTACATGTAATCAACTTATGCATATCTTTCTAATAATAATTCTCAACAATTTCACAACAAACTTTTAATTTTTAGGTTTCTGTGGAAAAACCTAGGAAAAGCAATATCCTGAAACACAACGCTGAGAACATCAACATAATCACAATTGATGGATAAGCTCTGGAAGAATTGGAATTTCTGACGTACCTGGGAAGCACCATCGCCGAACAAGGAGGATCCGTTGCGGATGTAAAGGCAAGGATTGGTGAAGTAAGGGTAGCATTCCTACAATTGACGAACATATGGAACTAAAAACAAATGTCAACGAATATAAAAAGTCCGAATCTTCAATATGAACGTGAAGAAAGTTCCACTGTACGGAGCTGAAACTTTGAGAACTAACACAACCATCGTCAAAAAGGTACAAGTAGTTATAAACAGTTATCTACTCAAGATACACAATACCCACTGGTCGGATACCATCAGCAACAACCTACTGTGGGATAGAACAAACCAGCTTCCAACTGAAGAGAAAATTAGGAAGAGGCACTGGGAGTAGATAGGAAATAAATTACGGGAACCATGAAACTCCTTCACAAGACAAGCGCCTGCTTGCAATCCTGAAGAGGAAAGGTAAGGTGGAAGATCAGGAAACACTGTGTCGGGAATTGAGAGCACCATACAAGTGGTAACAGGCGTAAGTGACGGCAAAACCTCCAGAACACCTAGCGAAAATATTGTGAAACTGAAACTGAGATGGGCCAAAATTATAAACAAACCACTTCAATAGTTGAGTAAAACAAATGTATTCAAACATTGAAATTAATGATGTTGAAATAGGAGTTATTAGTTGATTAACTGCTTTCAATTCATCAAACACTCCCTACCGGATGAAGCTTGGCATTTTCAACAGACAAATAAATTGTCAGCACTGATCCAGGTGAGAATAAGTATCATAAACAAATAGGCAATGATCAGAAAAACACAAGCCTCGATGCTTACAGAAGTACACTTAAAACCTGACTTAACTACATGATCCCCAAAGATTTCCGTCAGTATGCTTAGAAATTCTAGTAATCATTCATCAAATACCGTCTAATGTCCCCTACGAAGATCCTCTTTCCTGTCCTCAACTCAACTTGTATCAGACGTACACCATTACTATTTACCACTTTCTGCGTTGGATCCAATGTCGTCAATTTCCCCTAGAGAAGTCAGTGCATATCACTACCAAGTCACCTTCCCCCGTACTTCTTTGTAATTGAGTTTATTTCTGACTGTGTTATAACATCAAAACCCATTCTTTGAGCCACTACTTCAAAAAAGCTCCAATGCCGAAGAATTCGCCTTTGCAAACCTTTAAGGACACCTGCCAGTTTATTGAGTATCACTAAGTAATGTCACTTTCTCTCAACAGCAACAGCTTGGATGGTGTTATCGCTTCAAGATCGTCCGAGTCATCCTTAATAGTAACCAGACGTCGACTATGAACAATACTTTCGATGCTTATAATGAAGTTTTAAGGCACTCATCTGTTAAGAACTGCTCATTTGCAGGAGGACTTAGTATCTTACGAGTAGAGACAATCATGAGCTTCTAGACACATTGTCAGTGATTAGCGACCGCAGGATTGAAATATCAGTCAGTCCTCTTCCAGAGCAAGTCAGAATGCATACACTCCTCTGCCAAAATTTGAAGGCATTCTTTTAATTCTCGTCGAGTTTCTTCAAATTTGTTTAATAATCGCAGCACCTCTCTTGGATAGACTCTATCAACAAACATCATTAGTGCCATGAAAATCCAGTCATTAGTAAGCTACATACCATGTTCAGATAGTCAGCTGTCAGTCTTAGATAATTAAAGTCACAACTATGGTGCTTTTCGAAACGTCCACCTTGCTTTACCATTATAGAAGCAACAACTATCCAACTGATAAGCACTAGTTTCAATTCTCTATGTAGAC